TTTTTTTATGTATGTTTAGAATTTTTTATGCATGTAAATATTTATCTTATTGTAACCTTGCATTCTTATGATTCAGCTTGTTAAAATTGTGTAATCATTGGTCTCTTTGCAAGTCATTTAAACCACAATTAAATCCATGAATGGAACAATAGTTTCTACTCTTTCCCCTTGATACTTGAATTTTTTATAGAATATATTAAAATTTTTTCTTTAATGGTTTCTATTACTCTTCTTAGTAGAGTAGTTTTCTTTTAGGAAATAGTCCAAAACCTCTATTCTATGGGCGCACAGTTCATGATCATTGACTCATTGTTTGGATTGTAGTTTTGATTTGATTGGAAATTTAGTTTTTAAATTTTCATTTGTTGTGTCTCAATAATTATAATTTTTATTTGATAGAAAATTAATCTTTGAATTTTGGTTTGATATAATTCATTTCAATTTAACCATTTAAAATATATGCCCTTATATTTTAAAAAATAAAATTATAAAAATAAATTTATTTCTTAAAACTTATGGACTAGTATTTTAGATTATTAAAACTATAGATAATAAATTGTAATGAGTTAGAGTTTAGTCAAAAAAAAAAAAAGCAAAAAAAGACAGGTGGCTTGGGGCTCATTGAATGGGAGGGTACAGATTGTCAATTTTCTATCAATTAAAAATCATTATTTCTACATATAGAAAAATTAGAAAACATTTACAATTAATTATGAGATATAAATGATACATTTTAAAATAATCAATAATTATCTTTACCAACAAAACAATTTATATACACATAATTTTATGTATGGTTAGTAAATCTAGGGAAAAAAATCACCAATCATTTTATATACACATAATTTTTCGGTCAAAAAAAATACAGATATCTTTAATAAGTAGCTATATTTTTACAAGTGACTTCTTTTAAAACAATTGAATTGATTGGTTCAAATATACAAGAAGCTTATCTAATTAATTATGAAATAGTATTTTAAATTTTTTTTCAAAAACATTTTAATGGTTTAATGATGATTTATCCTTTAATTGTTATTGAGGTAAAAAAATATAAACATAATTTTAGAGGGAAATGAAATAAAATATTGTTATAATTTTATAAATAAATAAATTAGTCATGTGTTAAAATATGGATTCTTGAATGTTATTAAAAAAATGCTTTGATGCTTGATTTATTGTGTAGGGATCAGATTATTTTTGGTGCTTTGATATTAATTTGATTAATAAAATTTTTTTCTTAATATATAGGGAAAATGAACAATAAAAAAGAGGTAGTGTGCATATATGCAAATGATCAAATTTTTAATGGTTCAAATTGTGTGACATTTGAATCTAATAATATGAGAATAATGAAGATTGATGTAAATATTACTTTGGCCCAACTAAAGTAAGATGTTGAACAAATACTAGAGCTTCCTTTCAATTAAATTGTGTCTAATCTAATATATAGATATCCAATAGCCATAAATCCACCAAGATATCGGGCATGTAAGTAGCAGAAAGATTTGACATAGAACAAAAGCGGCATATAAATTTGTGATATTCAAATCAATTGACGAGACTAGAGCTATACGCAGACATTTTAAATGTAGAAGTTGATGACCTCCCTGAATCGCAACCACTAGAGAACTTTGTTAGATCTTCATTTTCATCAAATAGCAATCACATAGATCCAATGCAAAAAGGAAGAAGGCTTAGCTTGCTCTTAGAAAATTTTCATCCATTTGATTCTCCTTTCCTTGATGTTGGTAATAGTAGTGTACTATCTTCACAAACTCCATCTGAAGATATTATGAATGATTTTGAAGATGAAGATGAGTATGATTTTAATATAAATGGTGGTAACCATGATAATAATGAGGCCTTTGAAGAGAATAACAAAGAGGCTACCTTAACTTTCTTCTCATAAATTAATATAGAGTGAGCCGTGACTCTTAAGTTTAGTAGAATGGGAGATCTTTTACCTCCTAATGATGGCTTGGAGTTTTTTATTCGGTCAAATGTTTAATAATATTCACACGTTAAGACGTGTAGCCAAATTATACTCTGTTCGAATTCATCACACGTTCAAGGTGTTTCATTCAAGTGATAAGTGCGAAGAATATCAATGTATAAATTATAAAAGTAGTTGCAATTGAAGATTAAGGGTTTGTAAAAAAGGAAATAGACATCGTGGCACATTACAAAATATGCAGGGCCTCATACTTGTTTGAAAATCTCATTAAGTCAGGATCGATTGATAGATTCACTACTCCAAATCATAGAGTATCTTAAACAAGTTGGATTTTATGAAGTTGTAAGAGTAGGACAATTCAAATATGACCCAACTCTGGTCTCAACACTTTGTTGAGAGTGGTGATCTAAGACACATACTTTTGAAACCACTCGTGGTAAATGCATAATAACTTTACAAGATGTTGCTATTTAATTAGGCCTTCCATGTATTGGAACTCCTGTCTTTGGTAAAATATATTAGAATTAGTTTAATGTTTGTGAATGGCTCCTTAGAATATGACCACCAGAAGATAAAATGTCAAGATAAAGGCTTATAATTTCTTGGTTAGCTAAACACTTTCACCAACTCCCAGATGATGCGAATGATGTACAAATCTAACAATTCACAAGAACTTATATACTTAGGTTATTGGTGGGTATTTAATGCCAGATAGGTTAGGTCATAAAATTTATTTTGTGTATCTTCTATTGGTTTAGAATTTTAAAGAAGTTAGCTGCTTTTTATGGGGATTTACAGTATTAGTGCATCTTTATAGAGAGTTATGTAATGCCACTAACCCAGTTAAGCAAAGGATAGGTAGATGCTTAGCATTACTTCACTTATAGGCATGGGATCGCTTTCTGATGCTAGCACTAAAGTAACCTCCAACTCTAGATCCATAAATAGATATTTATCCTCTCATACCCATTTTTGGATTTCGATAATGCTTATTTTAGAATTTCATTAATGTGAATTTATATTATTTATTTAATCATATAGATTTAACACATTGCAAAAATTAACCATTGATGGAAAAACATGGGGTGACCACCTCGTCTGAGTGCCATGTCATTACAATAATATAGACTTTGGCTCGATGCAAAGGCAAAGGATGAGATAATATGGAGACTATATGATTCTCAATTGTTGCAAGTTTTGATTCCAAGCTATTGCTTAGTCACACCACAAATTTGGAGGGCTTTAGTTCCCTTAATATGCTTTCACATAATAGAATGGTACCATCCTGATTGCATCGTGAGACAATTTGGTCTTCAACAGTCGATTCCTTTTCCCCCAGTTAGGTTGGGAATGTCCATACATTACAACTTAAGGGAAGAACATCATCAAATTGGATTGAGGAGCATGTAATCTTCATCAATGCATGGGAAGGATGGGAACATGTTATTGTAGAGTCTCCTATATCAAACGAGCCATTAGATCACACATTTCGAGTACATGCGATGGTATTAGAGATATACTCGAAGATGGATTAGCTAAAAAACTGTTGCAACTAGTTTTGCAGTAAGTATTCACTATTATTATATTTTTACAATTGATATTCCTACTTCTTAATATTTTTTAACTAATTTCAGGCATATATAACAAAAGGTTTATATAGGTTAAGTCTTCAAAACCCTCTACAAATATCAATAATAGATTATCAAGAAAGGGTTTGTCAAGATCAACACAACATATTACTTGCGTTAAGAGAGCAACGCTTCACAATGGTCTCTCGACTTGCTCCACCTGCAATAGATGTGCCATGCCTACATATTCCTCAAGGCAGATAAAGTAGGAGACATGGAAGCTATTTGTCTATACAACCACTTGATGCCATTGAAGATGAAGTGGAACAAGACCAAGGAGGCCCTTCTTCTTCTAACTTGTTTACTCAATCCCATCGCATGCCCCCATCATCCTTGTCCCATCGATTTAGCTCTTTAGATATTGAACAACTTGTCTCATTCACTTTTTTATTTGATGATCATTGTTATTTGCAACCAAATACAATGGTTACACATTTGAACATGGAGGGCCCTCGAATGAAATATTCGCGACTCCATAACATTTGATCTCCCTTACAGAGTCTCCTATTTTTGATTTGAATACCCCACCAATTGTACTAACCACAAAATCGTCAAAATCTCAACACAAAGAGCCTACAAGATAAGGGCAACCTCACTGTATTATAAGGAGGCCAAGATGTGGCACAGGAAGCCATTATATATAGATTATGTTTTCTAATGTAAACATATTTAATCTTTAATTATTCTAAAAAATAATAGCCTTTTGTTATTATTGACTCATTTTATTATTTTATATGTTTCAAATCATTATTTATTCCACTTCAATCTAAATTAATTAAAAAAATTATCATTATATAAAATAAAAAAATCTACTTAGTAGCTTATCATTTCATTAATGATTGTCCCATCAATTATTTTTGTAGAAAATAATTTAGTAATCATAAAAATAATCATTTTATAATCATGATTATGTTAATAAAATCAATAATTAGGGTAGGGATGGATAGGGAATGAAATGTGAAAATTGGCTTTAATCAAACTAAGTTGTGAAAATTGGCTTCAATCAAATCAAGTTGTGTGCATTCCTATCAAATCAATTTTTGCTTCTATAGCATCTTGGGATATATTTTTTCCCTTACAATATTTTGTTAATTAATTTTTTTATGTAGCATCTTGGTATTTTTGTCATGATTTGTGTGTGTGCATTTTATGGCCATGCAATTCACATGATTTTTCAAAAAAGTCAAACTATTATATTAATAAAAGTTAAAATTTCAAAACAAATATGGTTAATGAAAAAAGACATGAAAAAAAAAAGGAAAGGAATCGACAGATAATTGAGAAATATTAAGCTTTAACTTTTTTCCCCCCTATGTGTAATGTTGTATGAGTGGAATGTGCGTTTGGCAATACACACACACACGTGGAATGTTGAAAACTATCGGCCATTTTGTTCATTCTCAGGTTCCAACCTCCCCATTGACTGGTAGGTTAGAAACTCACTCACTTCATTCTGAAATCCTCTGACCTTCCTCTTATTCTCTCTCTTCATGAGTACCCCGATTCATCCGTTGTTCTGCGGAACATGGAAGGACCCTCTTCTACTACAACTTCTTCACCAGGATCCTCCCGAATCAACATTCACTCTTCACCAGACGCTGCTGAAATTTCCCACAATGTTCTTCGCTCCGACATCGAATCTCTTCGTCATGTTTATGGGAGCCTTCAATTAAAGCATGCGGAAGCCGAGGAAAACCTAGCTATGCTCCAGCACCAGATGGATGAGTGCGCTGATCATAACGCGCGTTTAAGCCGAGAAGTGGCGCAAACTACCAGGGAAAGAGACTCGTTTCGGGATCAAGTTCGTTGTCTTGAAACAAATTTGAGAGAAAAAGAGGAGGAGTATTCGCAGAAGATTGATGTGGAAATGGGAGAGAAAGAAGGGCTCAAGAAAGAAATGGAAGATTTCAGAGAGCGAGTTCAAAAATTGGAGCTTGAGAGGGAAGGCATAAATTCATCGATGATAGAGAGTTTAGAATCTCTCAGTTCTACAAGGGATTGCTTATCTAGAGTGTTAGAAGGTTTAGAGGAAGAAAATGATGAAACTTCTGTTAAAGAAAGCGAGGGTATTGATGTAAAATCTGGACTAGGAGAGGAGTCAAGGGCGTTGTTGGAAGAGGTGAGAATGGTGTCAAGGCTTGCAACTGAGGTGGAAATAAGGATTGATAAGTATAAAGAATCGAAAAAGAAGGAGAAAAGAGAACTGGAGAATAGTCTGGTCAGTTTGACAGAGGAGAATAGGGATGTCAATAAGTTGCTAAGGATTGCCATCTTGGAGAAAGAGTCATTGGAGAAGAAGTTGAAGGGAAGGGTGCCCTTATTGCCATTTGGATTGCAGAAAGTTGGTTTTGGATTCATGATGGGGGCTAATACTAATGAGCCAGCTACAGAGAGTACTGGGGCTAACACAGTGACTAAGAGTACTGGGGTTAACACAGGAACTAAGTCCGACAGTAGTGAGTGTGAAGAGGAGATTGTTAGTCTGGTAAGTCACTGTTATCCTTATTGCCATGTGATTGACTTTTTCATGTGGTCTCCGTCTTTGTTCCACTTTTAACATAGTTAATTGTCTGATCTCTTGCTTATTGCTTTGGACAAAAGGAACAAAAATAGAGCTAACAATTGTCTAATGTCACCATACTTAAATCAAGGCTTCACTTTATATATAGCATAAAGAATGATTGTGCATTTCTCATTTTGGTCATCTAAAGTGTAAGCATCTCAAGTTAGTTAAATAATTCCAGAAAGTTTGCAAAATGTCCATTAATTTGTCAAGTATAGTTCTCCAATTTTAGCTTTTTCTGGACACTAAACATTGCCACTTAATCAATTTTACAGTACTGGAACATGCTATTTGGCTAGTTCACCACCTTAGTTTTATTTGAGTCAATTTAATAATAAACAGAGGGTGCTGTGAAATTGAGATACTTGCACTTTAAGAATAAATTGACGTTATTTTAATGTTTTAAGGACAATAAGTTTATTTACTTTTAGAAGTATTGTTGCTAGATTGAGCTAGAATGCTATTCAAGAAAATGAAGATGTCACATTCTTTACCCCAATTTATAGCTTGTGACATATTCAAAAGAACCAAAAGATTTATCTCTTCTTTTACATTGACATGTAGTTAATATTTTTCTGTAGATCATTGTGCATCCCCATCAGAATCGGATATAGCTTGTTTTTCTCATTTCTCAACAAATTTCTGTAAATTTGACTCTATTAGAATAAGGATTGGCACTTGTCATAGGCAATAGTAATGACATGTAGTTTACCATCTTCTGGTAAAAGGCTTGGCCTGTTCTGACATTTATGATTATTTTCAAGGCATCAACAGTTGAAAGGATAATGAAGAATCTACGTCTCGAAATCACTCAATTGAGGAAATCTTTGGAGGAGTCTAGGTATTTTATCATCTAACCATTTTGAATCATCATACTGATTTGGTTGTTTGCTGATGATGCTGTAAATTGCAGCAGAGTTTGATGAAAATAAACTGAGGTTACTTTGACTCTGTTTTTAACATTGACATTTCATAGACGACAGCACTAAACATAATTAAGCAATTTCTTCTCTCTGTATTAACAATCCAAGGAGAAGTATATTATTAGTCCCTTCCTTTCTTTTATATTTATAGCTTTATATGATCCTCTTAACTAAAATTACAAATTATTGGTCCCTTCCTTTCTTTTTATATTTATAGCTTTATATGATCCTCTTAACTAAAATTACAAATTTTCAGGTAACTAATTGGAATTCATGGGGGGAAAAAGTGCCAGTAATGTAGCCAAATGGTACCAACTACCACCAGTGGTGGCTAAAGTGTGGATCTTAAGTAGTGTGTAGTGCGTACTGTGTCTCTACCTTCTTTACTATAATATATTTGCCTTATAAAAAAGAGAATGAAATTTTAAGTATAGATTTGCAATTCATATATTAACTTTGCCTCATTGTACGTGATGGACATTGATGATATTAATCTATTCAGTGGCCTGAAATACTCATTTTCTTTGTTCATATATATATATATATATATAATTAGGACCTGATCTATCTGTTGCGGTTTTAGACTTTAAATGCTGATATAGGCATGTCTTGAATAACCTTGAAACTTATGGATGTAGAGTTAGGTTAGAAAGAAAGTTACATGGTAAAGTTGGAGCGACTGAGAGATAGACACAGTCAAAGAGGAGAAGGTGAAACCATTCAAGCTCACAAAGTGTAGTACAACACTAAATCAATGATCTTGAAAGTAATGAAAAGTGGTTACTGTTACTGAATACTGATGACAGGGAACTAATTTCAAGCAACATTTGAAAAGTAAGTTGAGAGTTAGCACAAAAGAATAACCAACAGTTGTTGGATCCAATGGAAAGGATTTGATACCCCTTTAAAAAAAAAAAAAAGATCAAGGGTTTGAACCAAGTAGATATAAAATTCACACTAGTACAGTTCTTCCCTTTTTTGGCCTGACAATACACAAATATAGACTTGTCTGTAGGCTGTAGCATCAGATATCAAATAGTAATATCAAAATTAACAAATAACAACAAACAACAACAAGCCTTTATCCCATTAGGTGGGGTCGGCTACATGGATTACAAGACGCTAATGTGTTTTATCATTTATCAACCTTTTAGGAATATTATTAATTGAGAGATCGCGTTCAATAACTTCCAAGAATGTTCTCTTAGGCTTTCCTCTACCCCTCTTAACAGGGCTCAAAGTTATATATTTCACTCTTCTCACTGGTGCCTCCTGCGGTCTTCTTTATACATGCCCAAACCATTTCAAACGATTTTCTATCATTTTCTCCTCAATAGGTGCTACTCTCACTTTTTTGCATACGTACTTATTTCGAATTTTCTCTTTACATAGATGTCCGCACATTCATCGTAACATTCTCATCTCTGTTATTCCAACTTTATGCTCTTGCTGTCCTGTTAAAGCCCAGCATTCACTACTATACAACACAGCCGGTTTGATAGCAGTACGATAAAACTTTCCTTTAAGTTTATTAGGCACCTTACGGTGGCAAATAACTCTTTTAACTTTTTTCCAATTAAACCACCCAACTTGAATTCTATGTGAAATATCCCCACTGATTTCACCATCATTTTGAATAATGGCTCCCAAATATTTAAACTTTTCCATGTGAGGTATAATTTGATCTCTCAATTTCACTTCCAAAATCATTTTGGTGGTTCGTGTGAATTACTCTGTTGGTAGTTAGTGTAGAAAGCCATACATTGGTGGTAATCAAAGCAAGTCACATGTTGATGGTAATAAAAAACCCAAGATCTCTATCAAACAAAAAAGGCTGAGGAGACTATCTCTGTAGACGCTGCTCCTATTTCAAAAAAAGATTGATCATAATAGACATCTAGAATTCAAATTTCTACAAATTTTGGTTATATGTATGAGCTTAGTCTGTCTTTATTTTCAGAAATTCCATCTTGCTACAGCTGGTTAGTATGTCATATTGCTTGGTTTTGGATTATTTATTTTCAACCTTATGTCAGGTCAGACACAGAGCGACTCCAGTGTCTCACAGAGAAACAAGCCAAAGAAATTGCAGAAAACAAACTCTACATTAAGGAGTTAGAAGATAGAGAGAGGGTTTTGGCCCAAAATGTAATCACCTATTTGATCAAGAAATGGGATAATCATTCTCTATTAAAGCTCTCTTCTCACCAACTTTATACTTTTGTCTGAATGCTGAAAGGTAGAGGAGCTTTCGACAGAAATTAAGGAAACTGAGGAAGAAGTTGCTAGATGGAAGAATGCATGTGAGTTGGAAGTTGAAGCTGGAAAAAAAGAGATTGAAGAGCGTGACAAAGTGGTAAAGGTTTTTTCTATTCCTTGCTATGTGAATTGTGAACTTCAGTTGATATTAACTCTGTCTACTTTTCTCCATCAATGGAAGTCTGTCCTGATGAATGTCGTTTACTTCTGTTTGATTTATCATAAAATTTTCACAATTCTTGCTTGTTTATGAATTTTATTTATGAAATTTTCCATAAGGCTTTACCTTCATGTCATCTGGAAAAAAATACTGGTCCAGTATAAGATTAGCAGAAATTTATCTTAGCTGATATAATGAAAGCTGACAATAATCCAACTCCTGAATGTTCAATCAAGAACATGTCAAGAATCAAAGTCAGTTCATTTCAAATTCAAAAGCATAAGTTGGAGAAGATAGTTGAATGATTGTTATTACTTATTATTTATCTCTAAACTAGTAGATTGTACAATTTGGGAAGGTCATTCTCAATGTGATATTATTTCCATGGGTAATCAGTGTGTATGTTTTGTCTGCCTACCAAATTAATTCCACATCTTCTGATAAAAAAATAATAATAATAATTCCATATCATACTACTCTTTGCTTTTGTCAATCTGTAAGGTGGATGCCTTGAAACAAGAACTACAGAGAACAAAGACTGCCTTGGACATAGCAAATGGAAAATTAAGACTAAAAGAAGAACTTGCAAGCGCTGCAATGACTGCACAGGCAGCAGCAGAGAGGTCGTTGCAGCTAGCTGACAACAGAGCCATCGAACTCCGGCAGCGTACAGAGGAACTAACCAGACACATAGAAGAACAAGAGAAAAGGGAGCGAAGTAGCCGTAAGGCGAGACGCATATGTTGGCCATGTCAATTCTTCAAGTTCATCATTGGTTCTAATACTTCAAGCACCAGAGTTGAGACTGTAAAAAGGATGCTGCCAGAAATGCATGCCTTACTGAATTGACATACAATTCCTGAACAAAGAGTTGATGGATCTGTAATAACTCACCCATTGTTTCTTGTAGATGTTTTTCTCACTTGTGTTGCTATTGTTGCTGATGTTTGCAGAATCATTATGGCCATAATCTGCAAGCTTTTTCTGTTAGTTTATATTTAGGAATAAGTTTGATGAATAAAAAATAGATGTTTTGAAGGAATGCATTCTTTTATTTATTTATTTATTCTTTGAAGTTTTTGATACAATGGAATGAATACATTATTAGACAAGATTCCTTACCTTACAAGCATGGACGCCAGAATGGAGAGGTCGTAACTCATGATACTAGGTTCTGCTCCAATAAAATGGACGAGTGTGCTAAAATATATTTTCAACAGAAACCAGAGTTTTAGAGGCTTAATTTTTTATATAGACGGGGATGCCTGAAGAAGTTAATTTTGTCATAGGATTGCATCTTTCTTAATATACAAAATTGCCTTAATGACTCAAGTAACAAATGATATTTAATAATAGACTTTAATATGGCATCAAACTTTGGCCCCCAAAAAAAAGGGCATCTAAAGACCCTTTTTTTCCAGGTTAGGTAAATGCGTTTGTTAAATGGTTTCTTTTTTGCAGTGTAATTTATAATTCAGTAATTAATTTTGTTGCCCACAACATAGTAATTAAATTAAATAATATATATATATATATATATATATATTTTACCAGCAAGTAATGTGTGCGTGTGTGTCTGTGTTTTTTTTTTTTCAAAAATAATATTTATATATAATATAAAATAAATAATAAAAAAGTAGTTCATTTGTCAACTTTATACAATATAGAGTGATCCTGAATTCTCTGTTTCTCGCAAAAGGTCTGCAACATCGAAGAAGAAAGAGCTATGGCGACGATGAAACTTGCGGCGGCCCAGATCGAAACCTAATCTCCACTTCCACCTTACAGTCTTCAGTCGTGTATGTATTTGTTCATCTCTCCTAAGTGTCGTCTCTCCTAATCTCCACATCCCTATCTAGCATTCCTTCCTAATCTCAGTCTCACGTTCCGTCTATCCCTAATCTACCAGACTCCCCAGTCTCTCATCGCAGATGTGGTTCAGAAGTAAGGTCTCATCTTCACTACAGAACTGAGGCAATGCTAGTTGTTACTAATTGATATGGCTATATTGATTAGTCACAAATCTCGGAAAGGTTTTTAACTGAATATTTCTTTGAACCCGAATTGCATACTTGCCCCTCTTCGCCGTTTCGGTGTTAAGTTCTGCTTTGTCTGTAACAGATGCTTGATCGAGCATGTTTGGTGCAAGGAGATGCATTCAGCTTATACTTCCATGCTTATCCTTCTATCGCAGTTTCAATCCAGCGTTGAGTTTCCGTTCCGTGTGTTCACCTATTTTCAGAATAAGTAGAAGGTAAGTGTGAATTTCACTCAATAAGGCAACAAGATAGGATCGGAACAAGAAGGAAAAATGATTTCTTTATTTAAATTTTCTAATAAGCAAGGGACCCGTCAAATGCGATAGAATCCTTAGAAAATCGACCGCCGAAAATCTTGTTTGCTTTCTCTATTTCTCTGTCTGTTAATCGTCCTTTTGGCGAAATCAGAATGGTTTCTTCTCAATATGTGTCTGCAGAATCCAGAAGAGGCCCTCCGTGATTAATTGTCACTTACTTGCTAGGGGTTTCTGCAAGTTTGGTTTATTAATGAGACGTGCTGATTGATCTGTTCTATGTTCATTGTGGGTTGAAAAAAGTTTGGAAGAGTTGCCAAAGTATTTACTTTTATCAATATATATATACACATATATATACATATATATATTGATGATAATTGGGATTGAAATTAAAATGAAAAAAGTTATAATTTAGATGGTCTAAATTTTCCAGGAAACAACATCAGAAAATTCGTTTTCCCAGTCTAGAATGATAGCAGAGCAGAATATACTATGGCTGATGTGTCATGAGATTATATTTTGGTTTTGACAGTATGTTGACTAATTAATGTTCTTCTTTTCATAAAAATTTGGACTTTTTTTCCTTCTGAAGGAGTGTAATAAGTTTCAGAGATCTTGTTTGATATACTGAAGAGGACTAGTGTGCAAAAGAACCAAATTCATATTATCATCCATTTTAATGACTTTGCTCAGTAGCCCTAGCAGCAAACATGTTATAATGCTAAAAGCTAATGTAGATTGAGACTGACTAGTCAAATGCTCTTCTGGTTAGTTCATTCTTCATTGTTTGTTGATTATAAGTTGATAATTGTTATGCCTGTATATTGTGAAATTAAATTAAAAATTTACTCAAATAGTTGACAGGAAAAATATGCACTTGAACAATTTAAGCTCATGTCGGATTCTGTTCTAAGTCAGTTTATTCAATTGGGGATTCAGCAACACGATATTTGGCTTAGTTGTGTCCTTATTGCATTATTACATTATTATACATGGTGATAAGGCATTAGCTAATGCAGTCGGATCAACAAATTGTGTTAGGTCCCATTGGACTGACCTCAATTTGAACTTCTTTTACGGGCATAAATGATTTTGTAATACATTGGTCTTTACTTTATCATGTCCTTTTATATCAGTTCTTTTTAATCTGGTTGATTTTAACCAGTCAAAGTTGACTTATTGGCAATTTCAGTTACCTTGCAACAGATGCATCTCCTGATAAAGGTAGTGTGTCAGATAAAGTATTGAATGACTTTCTTTCAGTCATTGAAAATGAATTGGCACCGAGTATGGAAGTCTGCTCTTCATACATTGATAAGATGTGCAACGCTGGGAATCTTTCTGCTGCAAGAGAAACGCTAGAAGTGTTGCATGAGAAGAACGTTTACTTTTCCTCTAAGTTGTATGCCCGCCTATTAGCAATGGCCAGTCAGAAGAAGGATATTGATCTTTCATGTCAAGTTTTCAAGAAATTGCTGTTGTCCAATGAATCCATAGGTACAACTGTGTATCTTAACTTTTCCCAAGCTTTCATAGAGATGAGTGATTGTGTGGAGCTGCTAAGATTTGTTAAAGAAGTATTAGAGACGACTCGTTCAAGTACATCAGTTGTGAACAGGATAATTTTTGCCTTTGCCAAAAGTGGGCAGCAGGACAAGGCATTATTTATATTTGATCATCTTAAAATAGCGAATTTTAGTCTGGATTTGATAACATACAACATTGCTTTAGATATTTTAGGTCGTTCAGGTCGTGTGGATGAAATGCTTGGTGAGTTTGCATCTATGAAGGAAGCTGATATTGTCCCAGATTTCATTTCTTACAACACTTTAATCAACAGCTTGCGAAGGGTTGGAAGATATGATTTGTGTTTATTGTACTTTAGGAAGATGGTTGAGAGTGGAATTCAACCAGATTTGCTTACATATACTGCATTAATTCAGAGTTTTGGTCGATCAGGAAATGTTGAGGAATCATTGGAACTTTTCAAGCAGATGAAGATGATGAAGATTCGTCCTTCCATATATGTCTATCGATCACTAATTGCAAGCTTAAATAGAGCAGGAAAGTCTGACGTGGCAGCAGAACTTTCGGATGAGATGAATTCATCTGCGACTTGCCTAGCTAGGCCAGAGGATTTTAAACCAAAAAAAAGCCAAGGGAAATCTTAAAGACCATGGGTAAGCATGTCATATTCTTTTTATTTTTTAATTTGGATATAAAAAAGTGCAGGTGAGTTGAGTCCCGAAAACTTGTTAGAGCATGTCTCTAGGTTTAAAGAGCATTTACAGAGGTACTTACAGATTGTTCACCAACAAAATCCTTGCATCTACAATGGGATTTAAACTCATGATCTTGTGTGTTATGAGTCAAATTGTTATCAACTGAATCAAACTTTGTTGATGTGATGATATTTTTTGTGACTTCTCAATTGCCAGATAATCACTAACTTGGAGCCTATTAAATAGCCCTGCGAGGTGTCTTCTGAGCTGTCTGAAATATAGCCAAGTTGTCTGAAATATAGGTTAGTGCTGTCAACTAATGAATTAAGGGGCATTTACCTGTACAGGATGCTTATACAACCTTTGTACGTGTTGAAATCCTGAGGATTCGAGAAGGATGTAACGTCGTCCCTTTCCCTTTTTCTTCTATATTCGTGTACAAGAGATAGTGTGTTACTATGTTTATATGTGATTGCTTTCTGATTTTATCAGCAAACTAGACATTTTTATTGTATTATTCTTTATAATTTACGAATTGTGTGTCTTTTTAATAAATTTTATACTTTGCATTGATATTGATGATGTTGATGACACTGCTGAGAAAATAATTTTATCTTATAGAATACTCATTTTGGTTCTATATATGAGTTACTTCTGGTCACATTGCTAAAATGAATGAGTTGGTTGAATTATTAATGGTTTCTTAAAAAAATAAATATTTTCCAGTTTTTTTCAGATTAAATGCTTTATTATTAAAAAGGTTAAGTTGCATTTTTATCATGAAATATTTTTTAAGAAATAAATGTCCTAAACTATTTGTATTTTAAATTATTTGTCATAGCAATTTTGTTCATAAAATAATTAAAACATAGCATATCCGCCCTTAGGATTGCCACATCTATCTCTAATATTAAATACTTTAATGTTGACCTATTTAAGTTTGACCAATCTTATTCGTCATGCTAAGTTGATCTAAGTTGAGTTATATTTTGGTTGTGTTAATTACTTCAAGGATAAAAATTACTACAACAACAACAACAACAACAACAAGCCTTTATCCCACTAGGTGGGGTCGGCTATATGGATTGCAAGACGCCATTGTGCTCTATCATTTATTAAGCTTTTAAAAATGTTTGGTGTTTTTAAAAATTACTACAATACAAATAATTTAGAATGTTTGGTGTTTTTCAAAAAATAGTTCACAAATAAAAATACATCTTAATTCTCATTAAAAATACTTTTTCTCATATACAACTTTTTATTCAACCCATAAAAAACTGCAAAAGTGTAAAATTAAAAGAAATTACCTAATAATTGATCTTTTTATGTAAAACCATTTACAAAAAAAGATCATTTTTTTTAGATTGTAATATGTGCAGTATAGTATCGAGAGAAGTATTGCGATTGATATGCATTTCACTGTTCGCTCAATTTATTGTTGTCAGAGTTTCAAACCCTTGTGTCATGCGAAGTGCCTTTTGCTCTGTATTCTATTAAAACACGTTGTGTTATTTCAACAGAAAATCTGAACCCTCCAAATGTCATGTAAACAATCTAAATTATATGATTAAAAAAATCTTGTTTTTATAGTAGTTTCAGATCCTCATCCCCACAGGACAATGCCGATCGAAACTGTGTCTCGTGGAAACCTGTTCCAATTCGGAAGCAATTATGTGTTATGGGTAAAAATGATGCAAGCTTAATTTTTACTGGTAGCCTGTGAATCAACATGAGGGTCAATTGTCTTAAGTTGATACAATATCCAATTGCATATAATGCTTCTCATTCCTTTGCTTAGAACCAATGTTATAAGAATTGGATTGAACTTGTCGGTACGACCAATTGAATTAAAAATAGGTTCTAAATCAAGTTTGATTACAATAGAAAGCTGTCGAATTTTAGAACTGATGAAAATCGGCGAAACCAATGGGTAAACTGGTTGAACCATTCCTATTTTTTTATTTTTTTAATTTGTATTTCTAAATTATAATTTATACACATTTATACATAATAAGTGTTGATAAATGAAAAAAATGAACAAATATGTAAGAAATTTGTATGGAATATGTATATATGTATATATTTAGAAGTTATAAATTATAAATTATGAGATAAGTATATATTTTTCATTAGAATGATAGAATATTGTTGGATATTACTGTTTTACTTTATGTTATTTTGTTTGAAATATAAAAATTCATTTTAATTATTATATATAAATATTTCTTTTACTTTTAAGCATAAGTTATTTCAAATATACTGACTTATTTATGATCAATTGAACTATAATTTATATCCTAATTTGATTATTAAATCGTGAACTAATACTCTAGCCATTTCAATGACATTTTATTTTTTTGACATTGATTTAAACAGTGTAAATTTTATCTTTTGTTTAAACACTAACTCAATATCCCAAGACACGATAAACTGTTTCATCACATCATTGCTTCAATCAGAAGCGTGAGCTTTCAATCCAAAATTAGAAAATCAAGACTTTATGGTTATTTATATTTTAAAATCCCTTAGATTAGTCCCACATTTCATCAACGGCACTCAAGCATCAACGGTTTAGAGCAGGAAGGGTACGTTTGGAAGTTCAAGATAATTGATCAAATAATGAAGGCCTAAAATTTGGTTACTGTTTTCCTGAGTCTAGTAAAAGAGATTAATTTCTCTTAATGTGATGAATTAAAGTTGACATTCTCACTGAAAAATGTACTCGCTTTTAGCGCTATACCTCTTGAATAAGGTTGCTTTTAATAATAACTCTTTTTACCCCTTGCATTAATAGTCGAAAATACAAAAAAAAAAAACCTAAATGATGTTTTTTTCACAAGAAACAAATGGGAGTTTAATATTTTTCTTTTTTACCCCATAAATCAGAGTTTGAATTTGGACTTTCAAGAGAGATAAGTTATTCTTTTTCCCCCATAAATGAAAGTTTAAATTTGTACTTTCAAGTGACAAGTTACATTTTGCTTTGAGGGGGGAAAAAGGAATTGTCAATTCCTCAATCATCGAAGAGCATATCAAATAGTTCACAATAGATCTCACAAAAAAAAAAAATTTATTGCATGAATATGATGTATCACATTGTTTGTATACTATTTAATAAAAACGTGTCATGTCAAATTCATCTAATTTTCATTGTTATTTCTTATTTATATCACTTTAAATTGTTTTAATTTCTTGTGCTTTATTTCTCCCCTAATTTATAATGACAGTAGAGGGAGAAAATGAAAGAAGTTAAAGAGGTATTATATTCCAAAAAAAATTATTAAAAATAATGATACATAAAATTTTATTTTATTGAACTAGTATATTTTTATTGAATAGAATATTGATAAGGTAATATTCCTTGTGCATGCAAAAATTTCTTGTGCTGCCAATACAAAATAATAAGGATGATTGGAGGTCTTGTATGTTTAGTTACCATTTAAATCTTGAGAGTGTAGTTCTTATTAAAGTCTCATTCCTTAGTTTCATAGAATCAACACTTCTACTTAATGTCTTGTTATTTATGATAATTCCATTTTTAAGAAATAATCAATTAAGTTAACCATTCTTGCCCCTTCTCTGTCAACTTCTCCCCCTCTATTTTTTGTTGTTGCAAGGAGTATTCTTTTCCTTTCACTTTTATTTATGTTTAATCAAATATAAAAATTAAATTTCATTCCAACATGTTTTATATCATATCAAACAAAGTCTTACTAGTTAATGTTCATTCCATTCTATTTTTTTATCATTCTAGTTTGTTTTGTTGGGTCTACATATTAAGTATGAACCGCAGTTCTAAGACTAGCATAAATATCTGGTGGATATATCTGCCAGAATTGCAATACTGACACACCTTTTTTATTGTGAATAGCAAATTATGCAGATCCTATATATTAATCACATTTTAAAATAAATTGATGGCTATAAATATTAATCACTTTGCATAAAGAGTAAAGCATCAATTGAGCTTTTCTTCTCCCCCCAAAAAATAATAATAATAACCTTTGTTTACAATTTCCTCCTCCTAGAAGATACCTTTTTCCCCCAATTCATGCTTTTAAGTAAGAATAAATTTAAATTATTTTATTTTTATATTATTTTAATAATTAATCTATCTCTTTTATTTTCAAGAAATAGTTAGAAGTACCTTATATTTAGAATGTAAGCCTTTTAATATGTTCCATTCAAGTTTTAAAGAAACTCCCTATTCATAATAGATAGGATCTGCATAATGTCCTATTCACAGTAATTCATATTTAAAGTGGAGGAATAATAGAGGGGGAAAAAGTGAAGAGAAACACACCCCCTATTAAATTTGAATCATCTAGATTAAATATTTTAATTTTAATTTTACATTTATTAAAATAAAACATTGAAATTTTTTTATTAAATCTAATCAACAATATTGACAATCCAAATCAATATGGGAGCTCCAAATTTAATATTAATTTTATTTATAATTTTACTATTAAATCTGCACCATCCATATTATATATGGATAGTTAATTTATAAAAATTATAAAAAATTTAATATTAAATTTAAATTTAAATTACCCATATTAAATATGGACTTCCCAAATTAGTAATAAAACATATTTATTAAATTTTTTAATTAATATAAAATAAATATATTTAATTTGGATCATCTTGATTTAATAGGTGGGAAAAGGATAGAAAAAGGAAAGACTAGGAGAAGAAAAGCCGAGTCCTTCAAAGAAATTGCGTCCAAGAGTTAGAAATCTGCAACCACAAATAAAGCAAGGAGGTATACAAGAGTTCAGCTTATTTCATGATAAATCAAGCATAATAACGAGTAAATGAAACCTGGCAATAGTTGTAAGACCAAATAACACATACAATATATGCCTACTCAAGAAATTTTCCCATCGTACCCTAATTCTATAGCTTCCTTTGGTCTTCTTTTGAATACACAGCTTTCTATAGTGCTACTATCTCTAAACATAACCTAGAATAAAGCGCAGAGTATTTTGTGGTACTCCCACATGAAGATGATGATAATCAGGTCCTTACTAAGATTGTCCCTAAACCATAACCATATGAATGTTTATTGATTACTGGAGGGGAATAAATTAATTTGAAAAGGAAGAAGGGTGATTATTGGTTAGAATTGATGGCCAAGAAATCTAGAATTTACAAGGAGCTTGATTTTACAGAAATCCAACCTAAGATCCACGACGGTATCAAGTTCAGTTAGGGAGAGGGGAGTAGCTGATCTCCCAAAAATAAAAAGAAGAGAGGAAAGGAGAATAACAGACGAAAATTACAGCTTGTGATTTCAGATAAGCCATGTGTTATGAGTTTGTTTAAGGGTTTGAATGCTACTAAAGGGCACGGTGACAAATCTTCAATGGTCACCGAGTCTTGGAATTGTTAAGGGGTGAGGTCCCCCTTGATAGGAAGGAATCTCCAATTCCTTATTAATCAATATAGACCCCATCTGGTTTTCCTTTTTGAAACTAAATAGCAACAAGGTTGGAATACTTGAGGATGTAGTTAGGCTTTTAGCTTTTTGTTTATGTGGATTTGAAGGGACTTTTAGGTAGTCTTTGCCTTTGGTGGAAAGAAGAAGCTTCTGCTTTTGTAAGTAAAAAGTCAAAAATTTTTGTTTATGTTCATATCGACAGTGATATAGATAATTTGAAAGGGTGGGTGACTTTTGTGTATTGGCCCGCCTACCTTATCTAAAAGATGTGATTGGTGGAATAAACTCTCAATTGAATCCTAGTCGTGATGTGCCTTAGGTATGTCTTGGAGATTTTAATGCCTTTACCACAGTCAAGGAAAAAGATAATGGTCTAATGGATTTAGATTGGAAAGGACAATTTTTCATTAAGGCAAACAATAGAGAAGGCAAGGAGTTTATTAGAGAGTGTCTTGATAGAGAAATATGCAATCCATATTAGAGATTAGAGTTTCCTAAGGCTTTGCTTCTGGTTTTGGAAGCTATCAATTATGATCACTGTCATGTCATACTTCACTCTTGCTTTAGAGATATTAAGGGCGACTATTCTTTCAAGTTTGAGCAGATATGGATTAGCTACCTGAAGTATCCTGAGATTGTTCGCCAAAGTTTGAATTTTGCTACAAATGTCTAAGATGATGTGATTAAAGATCTCTGTAGTAGGCTTGGTTTGATTCAACATGCTTTATTGAAGTGGAGTGAAAAAACATTTTCGTCATAACAAATTGGCAATTGCTAGAATCAAAGATAAATTGAAGGAACTATTTCTTAGTGACTAGAATTCGTCAAAAGCTGAAGCTATTAAAGAGCTTAAGAATGATCTCCTTACTAGATAGGAATATGAGGAATAATACTGGGCTCAATGTTCTAAACTTAACTGAATGAAGCATGGTGATAAGAATTCTCAATTTTTCTACCTCTCCACTGTTGTAAGAAAGGAAAGAAACAAGATTGTCAAGATTAAAGACTCCAGTGGTACTTGGTTAGATGGGCAAAATGATATAGATGCCTAGTTTGTTAATGTCTACCAAGACCTCTTTTCCTCTTTAGGTTCATGAGATTATAGAGGTATGCTGGAGTATGTCAAACCTATCATCTCTAACTAAATGAACGATTCCTTTCTTAGTCTTGTATTTAAGGAAGAAGTCACGAAGGCTGCTTTTGCCCTTGGTGGCCTTAAAGCCCCTAGTTCGAGATGCTTTTTAGGTATATTTTTACTAGTCCTCTTGGTAAACTATGCAGGATAAAATTTTTGATATGGTTACTGGTTTTTTCTCCTTTGAATTTGTTGAATGATACTAATTTGGTGATGATTACCAAGATTGATAATTCAAAATCTATTGGTCATTTTTGGCCTATTAGTCTCTATAATTTCTCTTTTAAAATCATCTCTAAAATCACTACTTTAAGGCTAAAACCCATCCTTCCCAATGTCATTAGTCAAAATCAAAGGGCTTTTGTTGAAATAAGACAAATCCAAGAGAATATTACTATTGTTCATGAACTTTTTCACTTTTTAAAAACTAGAAGTGGGGATTAGCAAGAGCTGCCCTTGAAAGTTGATGTGAACAAAGCTTATGACCATATTGAATAGGACCTTTTGAATGATGTCCTTTTGAAGATGGATTTTCACCCTTTTAGGTTTCTAAAGTCATGAAGTGTGTCAGCTTTGTTGCTTTTACTCTCCATTATGCTGGTAGGAAAATTGCTAAAATCACTCCTTAAAGGGGTCTCCATCAAGGGGATCCTCTTTTCCCTTATTTGTTTATTATTATTGTTGATGTGATTTTCAATATGTTAAACAATTTGGCTAACTATGGAATTTTGACTGGTATAAGACCTGTAAGAGCTTGTGCGTGGGTAACTCATAGCTTTTTCACTAATAATTCTATTTTTTTTGGTTAAATATGATTTGGAATTGTACTATAATGCTTCTGGTTAGAGGATTAATTTTTATAAATCTTGCCTTTTTTTCTCCTTACATACCCCTGATTTTGTTTGTAATGAAGTGTGTAACCTTTTTAATATTCATTTTGTTAATTGTCCTGGGAAATATTTAGGGTTGCCCATCCTTTAGGATAGATCTAAAATTGAGGCTTTAACTTTTGTTAAAGATAGAGTTAAAAGAAAAATTCAAAATTGAGAAATTAATTTTTTTTTCTCTTTTGCTAGGAAGGAAGTACTTATTAAGTTTGTTGCTAGTGCGATTCCCACTTACTCCATGAGTTTCTTCCTTTATCCTAAAAAAAATGTCAAGAGCTTGATAGTTTAATCTCTAATTTCTGGTGGGTCAAAAAATAATGAGAAAAAAGTTCATTAGACTGCTTACGATAAGATGACTCAATCTAAACTTAATGGTGCAATGGGTTTTAAAGATTTCATGGACTATAATATTTCCCTCTTTGCTAAACAAGGATGGAGAATTTTGAATGAACCTAATGAGTTGTGGGTGCAGTTCTCAAAGGCATTTATTTTCCCAATTTTTATTTCCTACATGTAAAGAAAGGAGCTAGAGCCTCCTAGGTGTGGTCTAGTCTCTTGGAGGGTAGACAACTTCTTGATGATAAGGTTTGTTAGAGTCTTGGGATTGGAAGTAATCTCAGCTTCTAAACTAACCTTTAGATTCCTGCTATCTTTGGTCATAAGTTGTCCACTACATGCTCCCATTAAGGACTTGAGGAGGTCAAGGTTTTTGAGTTCTTTTGTAATGGCTTCTAGAATTTGGATTCTATTTTATCTAGATTATCTAAGAGGGAAGTGGTTGCTATTAAGAGAATTCCTATTCCTTTAGCCCAATCCCCTATTCGGTTCTTATACTGCTAAAATTATAAATGTCTTAGTTTTGTTACTGTTCCTATCTACATAAATGCTGCTAGTGGCTCTTTCTTCCTTTTGAAGGAATTTTGGAAAACAATTTGGCACTTAAAAATCCTTAAAAAAGTTAAAAACTTTAGTTGGAAAATTTTTAAAAGTACTTTGCCTTCTCTTAAAAAGCTTCAAAGATTTAATATTGTTAGCTCTACTTCTTGTCCATATTGCTTGTCTAGTGATGAGACTTTGAAACACCTTTTTATATTCTGTGATTGGCTTAAACACACTTGGTTTTGTTCTTCCCTTTCTATTAACATGCATAATTTTACTTTTGCTCATCTAGATCACTGGTTGTTTTAGTACCTTGTGGAATTTGATTTGGATAATTTTGGTAAAGCCCTTATTGCTATAACTTGCTAGCAAATTTAGAAAGCTAGATGTTTTTGTTTATATAAGGCTCTCTAGTGCTCCTCTTTTTGTTGCTACTCATTCGGAGTTATTGTTGTACAAGTTTTCTCAAAATTGGTATTGTTCTCTTCATGAGAATGTTACTCTTGGGGAATCACCCCATGGTCCTCTTCTAAGGTGGCATACTCCAAATTCTCCATTTATTGAATGTAGTACTGATGCTTCTTTCAATTTGGGCTAGAATGCGGGTTTAGGCATTATTTTAGAAATGTTAATGGTGAAGTAGTGGAATGGATCAACTATGAATGCAAAGCAGATTCGACTTTCCAATCAAAGGCTTTGGATCCTCAAAAGGGTGTTCAAATGGCAGCTGATCTTAATTTTCATTCTGTAGAATTCAAATCTAATTGTTTGTCTCTTATTCAAGCCTTAACTTTAGACTCTAATGGACTTGATTGGCATTCTTGTGACATCACATTAGAGCTCTTAATCATTCCTTTAGATCTTTCAATTTTTCTTGGATTCCAAGAAATGTTATGATGCAGCCTCCTAGCTTGCAAGTCAATCTAAAGGGCTGTGTCCTCTTGTTTTGGTTTCTAATCCCCCACCCCCTTTGGTTTTTATTTTGCCTCAAGATGTAGAACTTACTCATAATGGCATCGGTTGACTTTTTTCTTGGAGCCTTTGCACATTTTATAAATGATATTTGCATTTTTTTTTGGCCAAAAAAGCAAGTAAATGAAGCCAACACATGAAAATATGAAAATAAAGTGTCAATTTTGTGCTGCGATTTAACTCACAATCTTGTGGGACAAACAAGCTAAGAATCTAATGATAGCACAATAATTCGAGTTTTTCAAACTCAAATCCTATTAGTAAGGAATAGAGTATAGTTAAACTTGAGATTTTTTTTTTGCACAATGGTTAAACTCAAGATTAAGTATTGATCAAAATAAAATAGATTCAACTTCTTCACAGTTTATCAGCAAGCCAAATTATAAACATTGAAATTTCAAAAGGATACACTGCAATCTCAAACATGTTGATTGTAACCTCAGGTGATGAGCTAAATGATTGCTCTCAAGAATTCATGAAAATAAATTTCAAAAGGAAAAATGAAATTACACTCTTACATATAGTTTAGAAGGAAAATTAATTTGAGAGAAGTAATAAAAATGGCCAAAACTACAAACATTCAAAATTTCTTCAGTAAATAAGAATTAACCTAGTGGGGAAAAATAAAAATACATATTTGATTAAACATCTACAATGTGCAATGCCTTGTCTTCTATCATAGGTTTTCTTTATCTAGGAGCTATATAAATAGATTGTCTCTATATAACCCAACTTATGCTATGTAGCATCCAAATAATATGTTCACATAATAATATGTTCCTAAGTATTATTCATATTATTTAGCCCATCAGTCTTTCAACATGGTACCTGAGCAAGACCTACACGTTGCCTCCTTAAAGATTTCAAAATGACACATTTCATTCATTTCCACCAAAAACCCTAATCTTGCCACTTCTTAATTGCATACCAAGAAGAACTCATCTTCTAAATTGCATTAAAGAACTTACGATGTATCCCATCCCTTTTTGTAAAAAACATAGTGGCTTGCAATAACGAGAAAAGATCAAGTGATGGTAAGAAGATATCAAATGATGGCAAGAAAAGGTCCTTTTTATCTTCCTCTTCCGCACTCAATGTCACTCATCCCCTATTCATCCACCTTTCTAACACCCAAATCACAATCCTCATCATGAATCTACTAATCAAAACATCAAACTACGGGTTGTGGAGCTAAGCTATAAGAATGGCCTTATTGGCCAAGAACAAATTTAGGTTGATTGATGGGAGTTGTGCCCATGATAGATACCCAAATATCTCTAGTTTTAATAGGATTAATGTAATGACATTATCCTGACATGATTGATCAACTTTATCTTGAAAGAAGTCACTGCCTCCATCACTTAGTATGAGATTGTACACCTTATATAGGCGGATCTGAGGGAAAGGTACAATGTGAGTGACAATGCTCAAATCTTTAGCCTTCATCTATCAATTAGTATGATAAACTAAGGTTTGCTCTTTGTTTCATCTTGTTATACCTGTCTCAAGGAGATTTAGGAGGAATACAACACATTAGTTTCCTTACCAACTTGCAACTGTGCATCGTCATCTGAGTATAGAAAGATTGCATACAAGCAAATCCTCTTACAATTCTTGGTTGGTTTGAATGATTTATACCACTCTATTTGTAATCAAATACTCCTTATGTCTCCTTTTCCATATATTAATCAAGCTTATTCCATGATTAGTCAAGAAGAGGCACAATGACATCTCTCTTTAGTGTCATCTCAAATCTCTTAAGAGAATGCAACAATGATGGCTCGAGGATAAGGAAGAGCCATGCACAGTGGAAGAATTCAAAGCAACTCACCTGATAAATGTTCAAATTGCCACAAAAGGGATCATACATGTGATCAATGTTATCATTTAATTAGGTTTCCATCTCAGTTTCAAGGGTCCAAAAATAAAGGTTCTTAAGAGAAGCAAATTAATCAACTGCAAACTAATTCCTCCAATTCTACCACTCAGAAATCAAATGTGTAAGGTGACAATCAACTACTATCACAACAAGACTATGAGCAAATTCTCAAGATTTTGAAGAAGGAAGTTAAGAATCTGCCTATTGGAGTAATAGAAGTCATTGACCTAAATGGATCATCAAGTTTTAAAGAAACTATTTTATCTCTTAAATCTAAGACTTCTCCTATCTAGTTTCTTAACTCTAGTTAGTAGTCTTTCACACTTTGATACATTCACAAAATATAATAGGGTCCCTTTGGGCATAAGAATTCCTGACAGTTTAAAAATGGATGTAACACACATAGGAACTATTAAACTACTTAATGATATTGAATTGCATGATGTATTATATGCTCTTGGAATTTGCTCTAATTTAGTCTCATTCTTTACTCTCTCGTCTCACTAAATCATAGAATTGCATAATGGCACTCTTTCTTAATAATTGTTTATTGCAGGGCCTTCATAATGGAAAGATGAGAATGGTTGGTAAAATGATTTTGGGAATATATATTGTACAATGAGGAACCCTTTATAGTGATATGAAAGTTAATTATAATCATACCTGTTCCTTATCAAATAGTGAAACTAGTTCTAATTTTTTCAATTGTACCCTCTAGCATAGTAGGTTAGGCCATACATCCTATCATGTACTAAAAAACTTGTTTCCTTTCAGGCATGAGCTTACTCATAATTATAGTAATGTCATATTTGTTTTCAAGCCAAATAGGCACATGCTCCATTTCCTGATGTTAGCATTAAATTTAGATTTTTTTTAGCTTGATTCATATTGATGTTTGGGGGCCTTATAAAAAACTAACCCATCAAGGTTATATATATTTTTGACTTGGGTAGATGACTTCTCTAGGATTACTTGGACCTATCTAATGCATCATAAATTTGAGAGTTTTTACTACTTGAAACACTTCTTTACATATGTCCAAATCTAGCTTTTTGTTTAGATTAAGTGTATAAGAATTGATAATGGCACTGAGTTTATAAATAAAAAAAATTATAGATTTTTATTGGAAAAGGGCATTGTGCATGAGACTGCATGTCCTTACACCCCCTAGCAAAATGGGGTGGTGGAAAGGGAACATAAACATATCCTATAAGTTGCTAAGAGCTTGATTTACCAATTTGATTTGCCAATAAAATTTTGGGAGAAAGCATTAAAACTTCCACTTACTTAATAAACGGAACCCCTTCTAGAATTTTAGGTTATAAAACTCTATATGAAAAGATGCATGGCAAACCATCTTATTTGTCCCACCTTAGAACCTTAGTTGCTTGCCTTTTAACAAAACATTACATAAGATTGATAAGTTTAACCATAGAACTGAATCATATGTCTTCTAAGGTTATGCAAATAATCAAAAAGGGTATATGTTATACAATATTAAATCTAATAAAACCATTATCAATATATATATATATATATATATAATAACTGTTCCCTTTAGAAATCCTTAGCTACAGTAACTCTATTGTCTTTTCCTTATTTTGTTATCTTGTGGTATTTGAAGACACATTTTCCTCTTGGGCTATTGCATGTACGATGGATAATAAGCCCATTTCTCTTTTTTGTTCCCTTCCCCCACCACTTCATGATTCATCGAGAACATTTTCCTATTCCTCTAGTTATTAGTTATTCCTAGTGGATCAAGATTTTATACACAAAATTGTTCAAGTCTACACTTTAATCAGTAATGATTATTTCTTGGTTCAGGCATTCACAAAATTGGGACCCTGATGCCTTTGCTTTTCATTCAACCATCTACTCCTTTATTCTACTTTCTCGATTACTCCTCCCTATAAAGGCTGAAAAAATTTCATGTCTTTGCAGGGCTTCCATTTTCTTCTTCACAAAACTTTAATAGGGCTAAACTTTTGTTCTAGCATGTAAATGGCCATGTTCTCAATATTTATGCTAGACACTTTTTTTTCATAGACGGTGACATTCTTTAGAGGTTGACTTGCTTTTCTTCAATATTGGGGAAGGAATCTTGAATACTTTATAAGTGATAAATCACTCATCATTAATGCATGTAATATATTTATATATAAATTATAGTATTTTAACAAGAATTTTTATTAATTATCAAACACAATATTATATATGACAAGACATAATATATAGAAATCATGGAAGAAGAGCTTTCAAAGTTTTAATTAATGCTTCTTATACCAAAAGAAAATAGGTTAATGCAATATGCAAAAAAATAATGCTAAGAAAGAAATTCAAATAAAAGTACAGCGAATGCCATTTTTTAGCAAGAACTTTCATTTATATAATCAGTCAATTTCTTCATAACCATCTCAATACCAACTAAATGGCTGAACTTTCATATACATGGGGAAAATATTATTAAATAAAAAAATAACTTCCACCCATCAAAGATACTGTACATATAATGAAACTAAAAATTTCTTACCTACATGTCCCTCATAGCAAGTAAACTCTATCAAAGTTTAGATGTAAGAATATCACTATCCTTACATGTTCATCATTTCTTGCATCATTTTTCCCTCATAGTAAGTATACTCTATCCACTATACTTTCATGCATAGTACATCCCACATAATACATCACAGGTACTCCTGCAAAGACATGAATTTAATTGCAAATTTAAAGAATCCTCATATTAAATCATCCTTTAAAAGAAATGCATGAAAGTCTGATTCAATTACAATATATAACTGAATAAATCAATTAATGACAATATACTTATCACTAAATCTATCAATGACAATTGACTCAATTACAAGATATAAACTGAATAAAGCAGTGGTGGTAAACATATATCTTTGAAAATTAAAATAAGTACACCTATACTTGCTCAAGTACACTATAGTATGTATATAATTTTCTTATGCTCAGTTGGTTACATTCTTAATAAAAATATATGTCTTTATGCAATATCTATTCAATTGCTGTATTTTACACCTTAATCTACAACAAAATGATTACCTCATGCATCAGGTAAATGGTGTGAAGAGTAAAGATGATTTTATCCAAACCATATAATTTGGTATGTTAGGTGACGAGTCACCTCTTGCATAATTTTTGTTTTTAAAAAGCTTTCATACTTTCATGTTAAACCTAAAAGTCTTGGATAAAGTTTCTATTATATTGTTCAAGATGCATACCAACCTAGATACGTGAAGTCAACTTTAAATTGCAGTCTCTTATGACTCTTGGATAAAGTTTTTGTCATGTTGCTTATTGAAAACATCTTTTTTACAATTGTGAATATATTTTGTATGACAACAACTAACCTTTTGAAAT